AGGTGAGCGGGCGCTGAGGCTGAGGAGAGGGCAGTTTGGGGGGCGCCTGCAGCCAAGGGTGAGTGGGGCGTCAAGGATGGCGCCCGGGGCTGCCGAGGGACCGGGACCCGGAGGGGCACGGGGAGACGGAAGAGGGAGGCTGGAGAGCCGGCTCTGGAATGGAATCTGGCGGAAATGGAGGTTGTTGAGCCGAGGGCCTGAGGGGGCGACGGCCTGGGCCCGCGGGTGGGAGAGGCCGAGGGGCGAGAGCGAGTGGGAAGCTTCCGATGCAGGGGCTCGGAGGCTTTCGGCAGCAGGGCGGTGACGGGGGCGCGTGCGGACCGGCGAGTGAGATGCTCCGGGCTCTGGCGGTGAGTGAGGGCAGAGGAGCAGCACCCGGCGGGGAGAGGGAGCCGGGCCGGGACCGACGAGCATCTGCCCGGGAGGGGTGGGCAGGATAACGGAGGGCTGGATTCAGGTCTGACTGACGACGGGGGGCGTTCGGGTGGGAAGTCCTCTGGCCCAGAGGGTTGCAGGCTTTGAAAAAGAGACATGTGGGCAAGGGGAAAAAAAAAGGAGCCCTTGGGGATCTAATTTAGGGCTCTGGCATTTTTACAGGTGTCCTTCATAGTATCCACGGCCGCTGGAGCCATGTACTTAGATTATGGGGCTTTCTCGTTTGTGGACTGTGGCTCCTTTGGAGAATCTGGGGGTAGGGGCCCGGCGTTAATCACTGATTTGCCTAAAAGACTAGGGGAAGTAGTGGAGAGGAAGTGATGTTTGAAAAAGGCATTGAAAGGACTGTTTCTGAAATGAAAGATATCCTTCGGATTTCTTCTGACAGTAGTAGTCTACTGATTTTTTTTCCCCTCTTCTTAAGTTTAAATGCCAGCAAGATTAAACCCAAGAGACTTGAAACATTACCTCTAAATTCAAAAAAAAAAAAACTTGAAACAATAATATAAACACTTGGATTTTGCAGATACTCAGTATGGACTGGTTCCACTTTAACAGCTTGAGTTGACACATGGATTTGTCACAGGGAGAAAATGTAGTCCTTGCAAGTTTCTGGGTTAAGGGGGCATGTAAAGCTGGAAGTGAGATCACCACAGTCCAGGAGCCTACCGGAATGATAGCTGCCAGACTGGAATGATCGCTTGAAAATTCGAAGAGTACTTTTGACAGATTTGCAGGACCAATATATTCAAGTGCTATTTTGTGTATAAGTGTGCAAATAATATTCTTAGGAGCGTGATCTAGAAAAATAAGGGTAGAAGATGTGTGTATTTGGCAGCTAATACAATAGAACTGGGACAAGTTGGTACACAGATGACTTTTATAGAAGATGGAGTACCGAAAACATGATTGCGCCCCCGCCCCCCAAAAATGCTTGTAATATTTATATTCACTTTAAAGG